ACAATATTTGGTGACCCTTCTGGGGATCTTGGGTAACTTGCCAGATAACAGAAGAATATTCCTATCTGATCTACATGGGCTGTTAATTAAGAAAGTTATTAATATAGCCACTGAAGTAGAAAGAACAGCACAGAAGCACATAGAAGGCCAATATTTCCCCAAATGGACAGAATATGATCACTTTTGCACTGGAATATTGTTACATTTTCCCCTCCAGCAACACAGATGGCAAAACATTGAATCTAGCAATGAAAATGAGTTGGGCAAAAGCTACTGGCTAGACAGTTGGCAAAAAAAAGATGTATTCCAAACAGATCTAAACAAAGTACTTAGATCTTTCTGAATGTTATTGCCAAGAGCTCAATGTTTCAGTTCTATTAGAGCTCTTTCAAGACCAATCAAGGCCAATATTGAACTGATAAACTATAAAAACTTAGGTTGGGATTTATACCTGCCTTCTATGATGACAATTATTATGTCATAAAGTCAGGCAACTGTAAGGAGAAAAATTAATTTACTTTGAAATTTCAAATGCAAAAGTTTAAAGCAAGCATTTATGAAGATTAAGCCAGATTTGAACCTCACTAGGGAATTTGATACAAATTGAGGTATATGCAAATTGGACTGAATAGAGCAGTTGGATCACAGCAATTACATATCTCTGCACCATATATCAACTAGTTGATGGTCTTTGCTCTGAATATTTCATTGCAGCTGGGATGTAATTATTGCCATTGCGATTGTGTAGCATCAAATAACATTTGTAGATTTGTGGGACTGGGCAGTGACAGTTCATTGTTGTACTTTCCAGATTGCCAAGACTTGAAAGAAACATTCAAGAATTTAAATACTTTGATTCCATCTAGTAGTTTTCTAAGAATAGTGGTAAATAACAGGACTTTTGGGGGAAATTACTATTAATAACTAGTCTTTACCTCTATAGTAGGGGAATGGGTTTGGAGAGATGAAGCTTAAGCAATCAGCAGATAAGAAACTGAAACAACATTTATTGATTAAGATTTTGGAATGAAACTTGGATTTTGTCAAGACTTGCACTAGAGAATTAATACAGAAGTTGAAAGGGAGAGGAGCTAAAATATATCCTTGCTTCCTCCCTTTTTAAATAACAATCAGTGATGTCAAGTATCTAAATTTGCTGAAATAGACCTGTACTGCATTAAGTTTATGCAGTTTCATAGCTAATTTTCCTCATAATCTTATCTCTGGGGATCAAATCAAAACCGATCTGTAAGTCAATAAAGGCAATATTAAAACAATCCCAAAGACAATAAATACTATTTTTCTCCTGGCTTTGAACTGCCTCTCCCTGAAGTCAGTTTCCCCCCTTCTTCAACTTTTATTTTTCCCATCCTAAAGACTTCTTCAAAACTTTAGCAAATGTCTTTTGCAAATCCAATAAAAATTGTCCAGGTCATTCTCTTGATATATCATTTGTATTTTCACATTAATTTTCAAGGCTTTAACCAATTTCTTTTATATAGCCAATAAAAAGTTCTTATTCAGGTCATTCTTTTGGCTTGTCATTTGTAATTCCATCGTAGCTCAGACTTCAGGAAGGCCAAAGGGGTGGGCTGGATGGCTGCAAGGTTTCCCCTATCTTGCTCTTGGGAACTTGCCAGACAGATGTTGCTGGTCTACAGAAGGATATGAATGGCAGGTCAAGTGCCGGATCTTGGCCATTCCTCCTTTCAGGCCTCTGGACTGCTCATCTACCCCTGTGAACACAGAGCCACGCCAAGCCCCCTCAAGCTTATGATTAATTTTTCTTTTATTCAAGAATGAAAGTAAACTCACTTGTGATGTTTTAAAGATCTCTATTAGCCCTAAGTTAATTAAATAGGTGATTTCCAAACGTGACTAGAAAGAGAAGTTAGCCAACCTGGTGTCCTTTAAAAGATCCTGCTGCAGCTGAGAGCATGATAGCTTCTCTTCATCTTCTGGTGCTCAGATCCATGGGAGACCACTATCATGCAGTCTTCTTCCAAGGATCAACTGTTCAGAACAAACATGGGTGGGGTGATCTCCCATCCTTTTCTTATCTGGAGAGGATCTGTAAAACTGGTCCACTCACCAGTTCTTTGGTCTTTGTTGTAGCCATTATTTGTACTCATTTGGAGACATGTTGGTTTGCCATACCTCTCCCTGAAATCTGCTCTGTGTCTTTAAATTCTGAATTTTTAATGGAAGTCCTGTTTAGAAACTCTTGCAATATTTGCATTTTATATTCATCTCCATTGATGAATGAAAAATCACTATGGCAAGGAGTTCATTTGCCTGACTTTCTCTCTTCTAATCAATAATAATGATTAGATTTGCTAGATCTTGTCTCCTAAAGGAGTAAGCAGAAACTTCTTGCCCTTACTGCATTTGATGCTTTTCAGTTCTGATGACCAAGTGGACAACATCAAACAGCAATAGAAGTAACTTGTCTACATAGGAACCAATAAAGGATCCCAGAAGAGGGGTAGAGCATAATAGAGGTCTAGTGATTATTGGCATTGGTGGTATCCAATATTGTTGTGCAGCATTTTATCTTCTGGTGTTAAAATGACCTTTGGCAGTATGTTTATTACCCTCCTCCACATACAGAGCTAATATTCTCTGCCCTTTACCTTGAATTTAGTTGACAAGATGGTTTAGGATATGAATATGATTATGAACATTAAGATCTTCTATTGCTCCTTTCTTTGACTTTTTGCCACCAGCACATTACTTCAGAGTAATTGAATTGTATTTATTTTATGACAGATTATAAAATAATAAATTCAATAATCAGAGTACCTTTTTTATAAAGATTCAAGAAACTTCAGTTGGTGTAAATGCATTAGCCACCTTATAGGTATTTGCGCATATTACTACTATTTTGCAGGACTTGCATTATTGCTTTTCAGCTTCTGGGTACAATTTATAGTGCTAGTTTTAATATAAAAGTCCTTTATGCTAAGTTACCTTCGGGACCACATCTCTCCACTGGAATCAGCCTGATTACTTGGATCAAACAGTTGGTTGTCCCCCTTTTTAGAAACCAAGAGGGTCAAGACCCAAAGGTATTTTTCCATCATCAGGCTCATCCTCTGGAATGACCTATCATGAGAAATATGTTTGGCCTCAACTCTAGTTGTCTTCTGGAAGCTTCTGAAAATAGTGGTTTTCATTTGCCAGTTGCTATCTGGAATGTAGTTTGTACATTTTAATTTTTAGTATTGTTATAGTTTTTCCTGTGTGAGCCACCAAGTCTGCATACAAGTGTGGTGGGATATAAATATAATATATAAGCAAACATACATATTGGAGATCGATACAAGACACATGTGGTCCATATAATGCAAAATGGAATTTCTGGAATAATAGAGCAGAATCTGAAAAAATCCAAGATTAATGGTATAGGCAAAATTCCAGAAAAGACAGGCAACAGTTAAAGGGACAAGAGGCAAGATTGCAACTGAGCCTGAGATACCGAATGAAATAAAAGTGCCAGGCCAAACACTCACAGGAATTACTGCCTAACATTGGAGTAGTGACAGCCTTACCAAGTAGGAAGCAAGTGTATTACTGGAGTCATCTTCAAAATGAATTGCATAGCTCAAGGGACAAGTCAGGGCTTTATGGAGCTTGCGAAAGAAAGAGAGTTCATTGATCAGCTGGTAGTGTTCATGCCTCTTGCTTCTAGAATATAGAGTCAGCAGTAGAAATCTCAGTGCAGAAATCTAGTATGGATTTATAGACATCCATTTTATGATGTTTTTATTGAGTTATAAACTGAATAGTAATGCAAAGGGGCTTTTTTTGTTTTTATTTGTTTTATTTGATTTCCTCCTTTTATATTAGAAATTAAAATATAAACAATGAGGTCAGTAAAAAAATAAACTGTAACAATAGGGTAAACAAAAGGCAGCAAAAGGGCATGTCACATAAACATTTTTAAGCAGATCTAGCAAAGCTGTGAAAATAAAAACTTCAAATGGATAGTAGAAAGTTATAAAACTTTTGAGACAAACGTGATTGTCTGTTGGGAGAGTTCAGACTTTAGAGTATCATGGCTGAAGAGTCTTCCATTTGTTGCTTACTTCATCTAAGTGAAATCTAGGCCCCCAATGATATTTATACTGAGGAATGTTTATGAGAGAAAGATAAATGTGCCAGGCTGGGTATCAGGTATTGCATTCCTCTAGACCAGGGGTGTCAAATTTGCATTGTCACAGCGTCAAGTGACATATCGGGACTTTCCCCCCACTTCGCTAAACAGGGCGGGGGTGGGGCCAGCATGTGATGCAACCGGCCCATGGACCGCAAGTTTCACACCCTGCTCTAGACCTTAAGAGAGAGGGGATGGACATTCATCTATCAGGAGATTTTAATGGTTACTGGGAGCTCTGATCTCTGGTGATCAGTTACAAGGCACTATGTGGTTGGGCCAGAGAAACATGGTGGGGATACTTCTGTTGTACTGTCCTCCTAGGCAAACAGTGTCATCAAGGTTGATAGTTGATATATGTAGCTTTCTACTACTCGGTAATTTCAACCTTCCATAACTACTGAGGTGGATTCTGAAAGCACCCCTGGATTTTACAATCAACATGACAAACATGGCCCTGTCACCCATGGTCACAGGCCTGACATTCAATATAGTAGTGAAAAAAGTAAGAATTACTCCTTTGTAATGGACATTTCATGTCTTGGTGACTGTGTGAGTGATCTGCACAGAGAGGCAAGGCTAGTTCTAGTGGTCCACTTCAAGTATCTGATTAGTTTAGTTCCAGAGGATACATGTGGAATTTCCCAGTAATTTGGAGAGTAATTCTGCCAGTAATCTCATTGATCTCTGCAATATGGAGGCAGTGGAGGCCTCCATAGAAATAGAATAGAAATCTTACAGATGTAGCTCTTTTAAAATTTGACCAATTTTATTACCTTGACCCAGGAAATCAAGGGGAAAAATAAGTCAAAGGAACTTAAACTTATTCTCTTCTTTTTTCCAGGATGATGAAGGTCAAACAGCATTGCATTATGGTAAGTGGTACATTACCATATTTACTATTAACCTGGTATAATCATGCATTTTGAATACCTAAAGAGAAGAGGGAGGGAGGAAGGGAGGGAGAGAGAGATGCAGCAGGAGCAAATATTCATTCAGGAATGATCGATAAATGATCCAAAATCAGAAAATTAGTTTTCTGCACAATAATATTTAACCTTAAGCCTTTAGTAATGTTTCAACATTATCTCAATGAGAATAATAATCTTTAAGATACAACATTGTGGAAATTACATCTCTAATTGTCAAATTATTTTGTATTTCCATAAATTTTTTGAAAATTACCATTGATCATACACATATGATAATGTAAACTTCAGTCTTTTTCAAGCCCTCAGAAGCTAAATAACTCCAATAGATTGCTACTACAATCCAACAATCCAGTGTTGAATATTTATCTACAATTGGTAATTTTCATTCAATTTTTCAATAAAGCCATGTTTATAATGAGAGGTAGAAATATATACAAAGGGGAATAGAGAGGAGCTTTTCCATACCTTGTTAGTTTGTTTGTTTTTAAACTTCATTTTCTGCAATTTGTGATTCAAAAACTTTCAATAGAAAAAATATTTTAATAATTGGAGAATACTATATTTCTATGAATCTGATGCAATTAAAGTGTTTGTTGCTTATTAATCAGTATAAGAAAATGAAGTATTATAATTTCAGACTTGTCTTTCTATATCTAGATTTTCTGCCTTGTCATTTTGGCCAGGATCTGACCAATTCTAGTACTCTGTTTCCCCCAAAATAAGACATCCCCTGTTAATAAGACCAATCTGGCTTTTGAGTGCATGGCAATAAGGCCAAGTACTTATTTCAGGGTTCAAAAAAATATAAGACAGGGTCTTATTTTCAGGGAAACATGGTAGCACTAATCAAATATTATGTGTACTCTGATGGTATCATATTACTTCAATAAACCATTCATACTTACTTAAAGTATGAGCTCTCCTCTGAAAATATTTTACTTAGGTATAAATTGGACTGCATAAAATTATTGGTAATTATACTATCAACTTGAGTACATAGGCATTACCCCATGGGATTCAATGTTGCCACAAGCTATACAATAAACGAAGGATTTAATGATAACCCTTGGAGTAAAAAGGGTAAAACGGAATCGGAGTTTATCCATCTTTTTACGAAGGCATTTGGCCTGACAGCTGTCCTTGCCTCAGCAGCTCTGATGATTACAGAAAGTGCCAAACTGTATCCTTAAATGAGTTATAAATCCTGGTTCATTCTGATTAAACACTGGTCAGAGTCATTAGGAGGTTAAATGAAGGACAGCTCCCAAGTATGTTATCCTCAGATGTGCTGCCAAGAGTGCCTCACCCTCCTCAGCCAAATATCTTTTGGCCATTAGTGCCCCAGTCATTTGTGGTCAGCTCTGGCCCATCTCTTAAAATACCAGGATATGTGTGGTCTCCCTTATGAATGGCCTGTTCGCTTTATATTCCCTTTTTAAGACTCACCCCGCCCCCTCCTGCATGTGCACGCTTCTTCCCTGCAGGGAATGCTCAGATGATTGCCTCTCTGTGTCCCAAAGGAAATCAGGGTTTCTCCTTGGACTTGAAATCACATGACTTTAGAGTGGGCTGGCTTGCTCTATTCGCCTGGGGATTTTTTTTCACTGTTAAAATGCCATCTGCTCTGGTTTTTGCACAGTGGCAAGGCAGTCAGAGGGAATACCAGTGAGGAAATAAATAATAAAAAATGAAATCCATTATGAAGACCCTGAGGATTAATGGACTTGGAAGGCAAACTGTGCTGAATGGAAATTCATCTTCACCTGTGCCCACGTCAGGACTGCCTTGCTAGTGTTTGACAAATAGAGGTTCCCCGGACATGCTGTAAATTCAACAACTGTTGTAATCTCCAGGGACGACTTTACTGTATTTAGAAGTGGGCTGATATCCTCCTGGGCTGCTCATTGCAGAGGCAACACATTGTGTCATGGAAGACTTCCTCCTCCGAAATGCCAAGTGCTTGCCAAATGGCAGTCTTTAGTATCAAGTCATCCATCTGCAGAAGATCCCCAGTGTAAATGTAAACAGGCTATTTTCAAGTAAAACAGCATCTGGCTCCATTCTGCTTACTGCAGAGGCTTCTGTTGAAAGATAATAACAATCAGAAACTAGATTCGTTCCTGATTCAAGTATGCCATTGACATACAGCACTACTGATTTAAAGATTACGCTCACTGATTAATCAGTTAAGTCCCTTCAGATACATAAGTATGTATCAAATAAAAATGCAAAGACGTGAATCATACCTCTGTAAAGTTTATATCATTTTTAAAGGGACACAGTTATAAGATAAACTCTGCTAAATAATTTCATGAATAGTAAATGCTGTGCATTTCCAGGAAAGCAGGGGCAAACTAAGGACAGCTCTGCAAGAATTGGACTGAGCCAGTGAATAAATTGGTTCCCTAAATTCCTCTCTAAATGAAGGACAGGACTTGGGATCACCCACAGGGATCCATATAGATGCTGCCAACGACCAGACTTTAAAACAGTGTTTTTTGCTGGATTTCAGAACTCTGGAAGCTGGGAAAGTCAGCTTTGAGTAAAGGCCCACAGGAGCCATCAAAGGGACACTGGGCTCGCCCACTTCCTTTCTTAATTACTTTTACTATAAATGGCTTGTAAATTGCTTTTTGGATGCTAGGAACCTTCAGAAAGACAAGTTGCTCACTGGACGATCTTCTTTCAAGTGGAAAACGTTCTACATAAGTTTAAAATTTAAAAACTGATTTCACTGCAGGTTGAAGGAAAATCAACCTCAAAAACCTACAAATGGAAACCAGCTGAGGTTTTAAGGGAGCACAAATAGTAAACCAGAAGAGTGACTTGGATGTATGGATTTTAACTAAAAAAATGACTTGAACAATGTTCTTACTGAAGTTTACAAAAAAGATGTGTTATACTTATGAAAGAATTTATAAGAAAAGATAAAAAGAGAAAAGAAGATGATTCTTCCCATGGACAAACAGTGACTTAAATCTAAATTGTAATAATACCCTACCACTTCTTCCAAAAGGAAACAATGTTAATGTGTCTCCACTTTCATCTATTTTAAAATGCATGTATTTCTATTTGTCCGTTACTATGAAGTATGTCCTTTGGGAACCTGAGATACAGTTCTTCCAGTAGATTCTCGTTTTACCTTTGATGTTGAACTCTCAATATCTAAGAAGCTTGGAAATATTTTGTTCAATGTAAAGCAGCTTTCCTCCATCAATAACTATGGCCAAGAGTCTTTCCTCTCATTTTACTTATTTATTTCCCCAATAGCTATCCTAACATTAAATTAAGCAGCACTGAATTGTAAGTAAGGGTAACAATTAAGAACAGAGAGCACCCATGCCTAACTCAGCTGCTGAACCATTTTGTATGTCTTAAATAAAATGTCTTTGCTTGCCAACATAAAAACAGAGATGAAGCTAATCTCATTTTCTTTCTTAAGCAGTTCCCAAACCTGGAAAAAACTGCCTATTCTAGTGTTTTACAAAGCATGCTTCAATAATGATGAACTCAAAAGAAAGGCCTCTCCCAAAGACTTAAAAGCTAACTAGACAAGTTCATGAGAAGCTTTTGTATAGCTTACTTTCAAGTGATGAAAGGGTTAGTCAAAACCAGTCGTTTAAAATGTTCTAAAAACCATTCATTTTTAAGAGTCACAGGGTACCTTTTATAAGTAATTATTAACTAATAATAAATGTGGCCACAGCACCATCCACTGACTAATTTCTGAAATAATTTTCAAAAGGAGCCTCACAGAATGCTGTGAGAAGAGCATTACAGGAGCCCAAATTACATTTAGCCAAGCCATGTGCCTCAGTTGTCAGATGGGCATAATTGATTCACCAGTCTTAGCTGTACGAATGTACTCCTTGACAGTATTTCTAAGAAGATCTGCAAAGCCATTGTCCCTTGTTAATACACACATTGGAGCATCTTATCCCATTCTATTTAACTCAGGTTGGGTAGTGAAAGCTTGCTGGGAAGTGTTCCTGTGAGGAAATACACATTACAGGGAGCCCACACTTGAGCCTTCTGAGACATTAAATAATATATGAAAATCTGCTACCCCAAATGATGGCACATCTGAGTTGTTACTGCTATGAATAGCAATTTTGCTTTCCTGTTATTTTACTTTCTGTGTTACTACTTCTAGGTCTACTTTTACCTAGAGCCTTTGGAAATAGAACAGCATAGAAGCCAAATTTGTTAAAATAAAAGAGCATGGTGTGCTTTGCTAAAATTAGAAAAAACACATTATATATGTTTCCAGTGCCTTATACATGTTTCCAAAGTGTACATATGCTATGTCAATCATTCCTATTCTGTATGCTGGGACTTTTTCATATACTGCCAAAGGAACTTTTAATGCCATAACAAATTCCTTACAAAATCTTCTTTTGACCCCAGAAAATAGGCTATTTGTATCTTAGTATAGTTCTGTGCACTGGCCATGCCTTTGTTGCTTCATATTATGGATAAGTAATGTTACAGTGGGGCAGAGAACACAATTTGTGGCAAGAGGTTGAAATAAGTCATCTAGAGTGGCCACAGAGTCTTCTGCACTTTTCACCATTTGTATAGGAGAGGGTGCTTCAGCTTGTGTAGCTGTTGTCCTTTGCCATCACTTCCTCTTTGGCTCTCTCAACTTCAAAGATTTCCTTTCCCCCTTTCCTTTCCTTTCCTTTCTCCTTTCCTCCCCTTCCCAAGTTACCTTCATGTACTAGAAGTGGACAAACTCTCTATATAGTTTCCTGGTCCTTCATTGTATTTGCAATTGTATTTGCAACCAGCCCACTTACACAAATGTTCCAAACTTCTTAAGAAACTTCTAATAGGCAGCTTCAGTCCTATAACCTTGACAATAACTCCGTAGCTTATGCTATCACATAGCAAAATGTATGAAGAGAGACCTGACTGTTAAAGAAAACTACTGTAAATTCCCCAGTGATTTAAGATGGCAAATAGAAAATAAAAATCAGTTCCATATTGGCAGCAGTGGACTATCAGGTATAAAGGTTAACAAAAAACTCAGACTGCAGGAACATAGAAAGCTAGATTTTTTTGTCATTTTAGTTAACAATGCAAGGGTTTAAATAATCTTCAATTGAACTGTTGTCCTGTTTTAATTAAACATTTGCTTTTCCCCATAGTGTCAGCTGAGAAAAGATATTTTCTCAAGATACTTTCTAATTAGTACAGCTAATTGCAAAGGGAAATACACCATTAATGTGTTGACTTGCAATATAATTAAAAACATAATTTAGTGTTTAGCTGAGAGGTACCTTGAAAATACAGGTCCCATTGGAACTTCAGCTACAAAGTTTTTTAGGAGAAATCCTATAACCACATCTGATGATTTGAGTTGCATTGGATACATATAGGAATTTTTATTTGATGTATCTGTTTCCACTATTAAGAAGCAAAAGAGTGCTAAAATTGCTGTTTTTAATAAATTTCAGCAACTGAAGTTAAATACACTATTTGAAAAATAGTAAAGTATTAAACTAAGGACAAATCATATTGGGGTGGCTTGTTAGTTTTCTGCTGTTCTCTCCACTGCAGTTGTCTCCCCGAAGAATCATTTAAACCAAAGAAAATTACCCACCTTCTCTTCTCCTTGCAACCAACTATGAGCCTCAAAATGAGTGTACTGTAAAGTACCACATTTTGCTCACTTTAACCCAACTTTATCCCTTCCTATTGCATTAGCTTCACATCAGGCAACTTGAGACAATAAATTGATGTTAGGCTACTAAATGTCCTACATTTGATGGATTAATCAAGTCACTGGCAAGTGATTACATTCTTCACAATTCCACAAACATTTACAAGTGACCTATTCAGAAAAAATAGTTCAGTATCCATATTTGGAAACGAAATTGATTCAGCTGGGGTGTGGGGGAAGCAACGTTGCTCTTAAATTCTCAAGACAATTTGTACATAATTGAGTTTAAACGGTGGCAGCATTGGATTAGAAGCCAGTTTTTATGTCACAGCTTGAAAAGAAAAATCTTAGCTTAAAAAATTCAACATCTGGTTGGTGCAAGATATAGCATGTTTCCCTAACAATGTTTTTCCATCCTAAAATGTCTTCCTTGCAATTTGTCTTTTTGTAAGATCGAACCTTTAAAAAAATTGTAAATGATCTGGTAAAATAATTCCATCTTTAAGATTGCCGAAAAGTCAGGAAATGCCAAGCCCAAGGTTACAGGGTCTCATGTTCTCTCCAAAAGGTTATGATTTAAATTTAATATCCTGCATCTCTTCTACTCTCCTCTGCTTCATTTCAGCAAGATATGTTTTCCTGACTATCCCTGAAGAAATTTTACTGTACTATCTATCACTTATATTAGAGTTGCTGCCATGTTCTGCTTCTTGGCTTTTCCTCTTGTTCCAAGACTTTTCCTTTTTAGCAATAAATCAAAGTCAAGAAACTGAAATAGTGGCTCTTTGTGCATCATATATATTGGTGTTGGTACCTGCTCAACACAGAACATTGAGCTAAAAGTTTCTATCGGAAACTACACATTTGCCCTGTAGCACTTGCCCAAGTGCCCTTAGTTTCCACTATTTACCTAAGTCCCTTTTCTGCCACTTCAGTAGCAACATCTCTCAGTTCATCCTTCAGTAACTGAGAATATATTTTTGTCTATTTATTTGCTGTTAACCTTTTTTAGATAATTTCCCTTTTTACTTCGTTGTTTTACAACTTTTATTTTGATTGGTTTTATTGATGTTTTCCTCTTGCATCCTGTGACTTTGAAAGATCCAGCTTCCAGCAGTAAACTCACTCCACTCAGTGCCTCATTTATTATGGGGAAAGTCACAAAGTGAGTACCTCCTTAGTTGACAAAAACTTTACATAATTCAGATGACAGGAATTGTTCCATGCCTTTTCAATCTTTAGCAAGGTTATTCACTATAGCAGTTGTATTCTTTCACCATCACACTTGTGAAGGCAGTTCCATATTAGTGGATGAGAGGTTTGCATTATTCTCAATACATGTTTTTATACCTGGTTAGTGAATAACTATCTTTAGATTGTCTTGCATATGTTCTTTTGTTCTCCAGTAACACTCTAACCATCTCTAAGTTTCCATCTTTTTCTATGTTTACCAATACATCTCTTGGCTAATAACTGCCACTTAACAGCACGTCATTATCAAAAATTTGTATTTCCATTTTATATTCTGTTTTGTACATGCATTTTGCCTGACTTCCAGAATTATTTGTCAGTGGAGTCCTTGATGCTCTCTGAGCATGATGGTTTGCTTGCAGATGTTTCACTACCAACTAGGTAGCATCATCAGAGTCTATTAAGTTTGGATTTGCTCCCTGTTTACATTTAACCCTGAGCTACATATATTCTCTTCCACTGATTTGTCAGTTCCAGAAACTAGCATAAACGTTGGGAGCCAATCCTTAAGGGCAAGCACTATAAGTTAGGGAAGGGACTTTCCATCAAAATCTTTTAGCTCTAGAATAGGCCAATCTATTCAAATGCAACATTCATATGTATGAACATAACAAATGAAATCTTCAAATACCAAAGATACAAGTAAACAAAGTGTTTATTGAGAGAGAGAGAGAGAGAGAGAGAGAGAGAGAGAGAGAAGTTTTTTAGCCTGCTCCAATCCAGAAACCGGGAGCCATATATACATACCAGTAGAGAAAAATCATACAATTAATAGTAACCCTGCCATAAACATTACTTAAAAGCACAGTGGAAGAGAATTGTTTCAATGTCCTTTTCAAGACCCTACCCTATAGAAGAACATCCCCCCAGAAATCTGGATGGCCCTGATGTTTTTGGCCTTTCGTGAGGCATTCAAGACCTGGATGCTCCTTCAGTCATTTAGGCCAGGTGGTTAAACCAACCCTGCTGGTGGATTTGTTTATTATGGTTTCACTGATTGAAAATGTAATGTTCTTATACTTGGGGATATTCTTCCTCCTCCTCCTCCTCCTCCCTCCTATTACTATTATTGTTTTGGATTAATATTTAATGCTTAATTTGTATATTATGTTGCTGAATTTTTGGTTTCACTCTTGTGTGCACTGCTAAGAGGCACTGTTTTGAGATGGGCATCTGTATAGGTTGTTTAAATAAATAAATAAAATGCTAAGAGGAAGGGACCCAATACTCAAGGAGTTGGAAAGTATGAGGGCCACAATAGAAAATGTTTGTCTCCTAACCCTAACCCTAAACTCACACTGGAGTGGAGACCTCACCAGGTCTTCTGAGAATGTTCTTAACAAATGGGCAGATTTAACCTTGGTGAGGAAATCCCTGATGTGATGCAATGCAATGCCATTTTGTTTGACTTTATAGGGAATAACCAAGTTGAATACTATCTTAGTGTGGTTGTAGAATGTGTAATGCCAATCTTGAGGAGATTTATCTTTCTTATAGCAGCTTCCTTGTTTTCTTTGGCTGTTAGATGGTTGCATATGTAGTTTTGATATGGCTCATTCAGCAGATGCAAACCGTTGATTCTGACTTGTTTCCATTTTGTTCTGGTCTCCCCTCTAGCTTCTACCTGTGAATTTTCTGATATTGTGGAACTGTTACTTCAATCTGGAGCCGACCCTACTCTTCGGGACATGGAAGGATACTTGCCCGAGGAGGTGACAGACTGTAGAGTAATCACCTCTATGCTCCAGGAACACACAGCTGGCAAAGCTTAACTGAAAGGCCAAGGAAGTGAAGCCCAAGGCTTTCAGAATGGAACAAAAACTGTAATAAATCCATCCTTCTCCTACTGCGTAGTCTGCACAATGCATAAGGATTGGAATTTGTTGAATGAAGTGCTTGGTATTGATACATATTTGGAAAGCCAAAAAGAAAGTAGTGGACTGTGAATCACACAGCATAACCTACTATCTACCATGTGAAAAATAACCTCAGCCATAGTTTGTGACTTATTTGCTTAATAGTTCCCCCCCCCTTTATTTTTTTTTTATTTTTTTTTTTGCAGTCTTAAAACCAATTAAAAGGATATATTGGATTTCTACTATCGTGTCAGATGTAGCTGTAAGAGATGTTCAGTTGGGTAGGATTGTGCGCTACAAGCCTGATACAGCACGAGTCTTACTTCACCAGCACAGGAGTTTCATCATGTATGGAGGCTACGCAGAAAAAAAAGGAACCGTACTGAAGCTGAAGTCCTGTGTGTTCCTTCTTGAGAATAAGCCCTAATTAGACACACGAATAGTGTTGAACTTGCTTTCCCAAGTGGATTTAAGGACTAGCTTTTTATTTGTTCCATGCAACTTCTAGGAAAGGAAGATCCAACTGCTGGATAGGGGAAAGGAAGATATGAGCCAGTTTATCAAACTTCTTTTCCCCCAAACTCCCACATTAGTGACATGTTATTATTTATATTTTTTTTAACTCAGAATTAGAAGTACTGTGTTTCTCTAAGATCTAAAAATAAGCGCGGTTGGTTTTTTTTTCCTTGATCCTAAACTGATTCCTAAACTGGTTAGCTAAGTAGTTGCTGTGTTGTTAAACTATGAGAACTGATGGGCATGTTAATTGTGTATATCTCTCTGTTTCTGGTATAAAACTACTTTCCTGCATGATATGAGATATATAAAAATGTTCCTGGAATGTTTCTCTTTTTTCACCTGCCATTAAACCAAACTAGTTATATAAAAAGCATCATGTGTTTATATTGGACACCACAAAATCTTATCCTGATTTTTTTTTAACCCTGTAGATATAACTAAAACATTTTTAGAGGAAATATCAACATAAATGGCTAAAAATGCATGGACAGAAAGGAAGAAAAATATTATAATCCCTAAGCTTGTTAAGTCTGCCTCAGAAGAAATGTGCAAGAAATGGCTGCATCCAATTTCTGGCTATGTCCTGCTTACACAATTTCTAGTGGGAGCCCTCTGTGTGTTTCACATTAAGCTAGGTGCAGCTCAAATTAAACTTTTCAGTTTGATTTTGAGAGCCATAGCATTAGCATTTTCTTGTCCTTTTCCTTCAAGCAGTCTGGCCTCTATAGCCTTACAGACTCCATTTTCCAAGTGCCAGTGTTACAAAACTAAAAATCGGAATCACATGAACACAATCTAGGTTTTCTTGCCCTGTGGAAGATCATTCAGTAGACCTATGTTGGATTTTTATTTTTATTTTCATGAAATTTTCCTACTTCAGGCTGACCCCACTCAGTATGGAGTTTTTCCTCCTGCAACAAGAGATTTGGTTTGTTTCTATTGATTGGCAGGTTGCCTAATGTTATATATTCATAGTTGCCCTATCATCTGTTTATTCACTGCAAAATAAATAGCTCCATATACTAATTTTATGTTTTATCGTTTGGTCCTGCCATGGCCTCTTAAAAGAGTTTTTTTTTTAATGCAAAGCATCTTTTATCATGCTCTTTCATCTCCATTATTTACTTCTGTTACCTGGTTGACAGACTCAAAAATATGCCTTCCTCTTCTGAACTTTCTTGCCATATCCCAGGTCTTTCTCCTACAATCTGCACTTCTCCATCAGTTATGAAAGTCTTCTGTTCTTCCCGCATAAGTTACCTAATTATTGGGGCAGTGGTTATCATCAAAAAGGGAACTTTCTTCTTTCCAATGCACACTGTGTATGCTTCAGGCTATCATGCACAAGATGTCCCCAGGAGAAAAAAGAACCTTTGATATCCTGTAATTGTTGGGTTGCATGGAAGCCCCAACTTTGCTCATCCTCAGCTACACCTTACAAGTATGGTTTATCACATTTGAACCTGATCCTCAAGGTTCAAATATCAGAAAATCCATCAGTCATTCTTGCATGAAGGAGCCTCTTCAGTGGTGGCAGGTGACAAACAATCTCAATTCTTCAGGCTTTGGTCGCTAACACAATTCATCGGTGATACAGTTATGTCTTCATTTCTGTTTCTTTTTCATCTGACACTTTTGCCCATAGGTTCACCCATTGCAGCATATCAGTAAGATGAAGTTCCTGGAATTTGGGGGATTTGATAATTGGTGTTTTTTTGAGGCAAAGCATTCAGATGTTATTAAACAATTATATTTGTACTACATTGGCCATATGGGTCAAGGTTGATAATGGCACTGATAGGCCTTACATTCCATATTACCCTAGTAATATGGACTGCATCCTTCAGCTATGGCTCTAATCGTATATCAATGGGTGTCTTGAAATTGAATTCCTCCCCGCTCCTCCCACATGTATATCTTGGGGTCTTTACCTCAGCAGCAGGTGCAGAATAAATTCCATATATATATAATGTTTGAAGCAGACATCTACAGTATCTTTTTACTAATTCCCTTTCTGATTGGAGATCTTGGAAAGATGAAAAGGATTCAGCCAATTATATCCTCATCACACCATGATGACCTTGATAGTCATGATTCATTCCTCCCTTGTGTAGTTTTAAGCCTTATTAAGCAATTCCCAATCTCCTCTCCTTCCATCATAGACAGAATCACATTTCCCTCCACTTACAGTCTGGAGAATTCCATTCTGCCTTGCAAAGAAAAAGAGGTATTTTCAGAAACCATTGACGATGGCTTCTCATGAAGTTAAAGGGTGCGAATTGTATGAGGAAAAACGAAGACTATTCTTCTGCAATGTCATCATATTTTACTCTTATATTTAACTATGTATGCCTTGGCACTTTTCCCCATAAGCTTATAGCTTACATAAATATCTACTACTATTTTTCAACATGTGGTACCTCCCACACTAGTAAGATGTTTTGTCAAAGGACTGGTTTTCCTCTGTTCCCCGATATGCCTGCTGATTCCATCCTCTATTTTGTCCATTTTCTCTGGCTTAATTCCAGAGCCTTTTGTGCCCGCAGTTATTGTCCTTATTCACCTCTTATTGTGAAAGATGTTACTAGCGGTAGCTGTGATCTTGACTCACCAACAGGGAGACACGTGTGTCTAGCACAGAGATTCTTCCTGTCTCTTAACTTTGACAGATCACTTTTCTCTCAAGGTTGGAAAAGCAATTGCCTTCCCCTTGGACAAAAGGGCATTATTCCAAAGAGACCAATATCTACGGTGCAATTTCTCTCCCCAACACTTTTCCAAATGAATTTTAGCAAACATCAAGTTTTTCTTTGAAGTGTCCAAGCAGGTTGCCTATTTCAACCCCCGCACCTATTTTATGACAGTGGTAACAGCTGTTTGCATCTTTCCAATTGCTTTACCAGGAATGTGCCTGAGAGTTAAAGGTAACCCTTGACTTAACAACTGTAATTGAGCCTGAAATTACGATTGTAAGTCGCATCACATGACCGGCCCCAATTTTTGTGGCAATTGTTAAGGGAAAGCCATGGGTCATAGAGCGAATCAATTTTTCCCAATGGGCATTTTTTCTGGAGACCGAAGATAAATGCAAGAAACCAGCAAAATTGCTGCAAATCGTGGTCACGTGACGATGGGATGCTGCAAACATCAGTAAATGTAAGTCAAGTGCCAAGCACCACATAACGGGGGAGAGGGGGAGTGCAGCTTTTGTAACTTCAAAAACGTAAGTAGTTTTTGGAGGGCCTAACATAACTGAATTGTCATTAAGGGACCGGTCATAAGTCAATATAGATTCTGCCTTGCAATTTCATGCAATACATGAACTGGAACTTTGTTTTGGGAGAGGTGTAGAAGTTGGGCTATTTAGGCTTGTTCTGGGTGCACCTTTCCTCCCCTCTCTTACACAGCCACATTAGCCTTTTATTATTCCTTATACCTCAAGAGTGAAGAATTTTTAGTTGCTGCACTTTTTTCCTCATTATTTTTAGCTGCCAAAGCTCACAATAGTGAGAGTGACACTATAATATACCAATGGGGGAGGGGGGGAGCGGCTGTGGCCAGAGATTTTTCCTATTTTTCTTAATCCCTGTGGGAAACTTGGAGGTGAATCAGTCATATTGTTATTTGATATTTTGCTAATCAATTTCAATAGTGCAATCTTGAGAGGGCATACAAGCGACATATGGGGTTGTTGTTTTTTAAAGTAAACGAAGTACAATCAGAGTTCTGGAAATGAAGATGAGTACAAATAGCAAAAAAATCAAATTTGTCAACAATGGCAAAATTAAGTCCAAATATATACTATATTCAAGTATATACTACATACTAAGTACATAGATTCACCTTTGTAGTACCTGTGGTACCATTTGTTTTCTAATAATGTCCTATGAAACTTTTTTGCCACTTTATAGGGGTTTGAGTTTAAATCTGATAAAAGGGGGCTGGATACTTGTTTGGAAGAGGGTTTGTAAGTTAACATCATGAGTCTCCAGAAATAGTACATGACAGCAGATCCAGAAAAGCATGGTTATAGGTGTTTATCCTATGGGACATCAGCATGCAGGTAGTTCTCACTTAGACCATTGCAGTATCCCCATGGCCACTTGATGAAAATTCAGATGCTTGGCAACTGACTCATATTTGATGATGGTTCTTGTGTCCCAGGGTCATGCAATTGCCTTTTGTGACCTTCTGATAAGCAAAGCCAATGGGGAAGCTAGACTTACCTAACAACAGCAGTGCTTCACTTAACAGCTGCAGCAAGAAAGATTGTAAAATGGGGCAACCTCAATTAACAAATGTCTCACTTAGCAACAGAAATTTTGGGCTCCATTGTGGTCTAAGCCAAGGACTACTAATATTTATCTTGCGTGATTGGAGACCCTGGCATAATTGAATGCTGGGCATTTATTATTTTATTTATTAAATGTTTATGCCATCCATCTCCCCTACAAGGCAACTCTGGGCAGCTTGAAACTGCATGCAGACCCACATATTCCCTACAGCCAGTGGGGTCTCCTATTTGCCATACCAAATTAATTGGGATATGGAGAGAGACAGCACCCCAAGACTGAAGAAAAGCAATGAAAAATAAAAGATCAGAAGCAAGGGTGGGGAATAGAAATGAGGAGAAGAGAGCAGCATAAAACTTAGAGGAAAATCTTTAGGAAAACATTCAGCAGAAATCTGTGGAAAACAATAGAGAAGCGAAAAGAAGAAAGGAAACCTTTCTGCAGCAACTGTTTCCTATTGTCCAGCATCCCTGACTTTTTCTGTTCTTTTTCCTGTTTTTTCTGGGGTGACTTTTCTTTATCCTGTACAAGGGTTCTAATGTACTCAATCTCCACTTCTGCTCTTCCTAGTCCAAGGGATAGTGGTTGTTCTAAATAAGCTAAATCTAAATGTCTAGCCATTCTATATTATGCCCTACAGATCTTTTAACACAACTCTTGCTATTCCACACTATTTTTTAAAACTAATTTTTCCTTCAAACAGAAAAATATATAGTAACAAGGTTCAATGCCTTACCCTCAAAGCTGCTGGAGAAACAGCCTATCAATCATCCTGTCAGAGGTAGTTGCAGAAATTAAATCCAGAAAGCACACACATGCAGACTGATGCAGCAGGATTCATTAACTTCTTTATATACATGAAGATAAATGTACAATACCAATATAGATTTCTTCCAACGTAGCAGTTACAAGCAAAACACAAGACAGGAGAGAACAGTTAGTTTCATTTCAGCAGAGCAGACTAGTTCAGGCACTGGTTTCAGTTTCGTTTCTCAGCACAGACTCAGAAGCTACAGACTAAGACACGCCCTGGCTCCAGTCTCTCTCAGCTCCCAATTGGCTGTTTAAGTTGCTATGCC